CAAAATGCTGGGATTACAGGTGTGAGCTGCTGTGCCTGGCCCTCGTTCCTTCTTTTAAATACCTTCTAGATACACTCTCAACTTTCTCAAAACTATAGTTTCTAAATAACATAATGTAGTTTCTAAAACTACATTTTATTTTCCTACTCCTAACTGGAAAAAGCAGGTACGTTGAATGTTTACAGATCCTCAAAGAAAAAAAAACTAAAATTCTGTAGTTTATTTGGGCTTGGGGATTTTCCAGGGATCCATGACTGATTAAAGCCTTTCAGAAGGTGCCTCCTCTTGCATTTTGGGTGTTAATTTCATTATTGCTGGTACATTCTATACCAACGTGTTGTCCCTGTATTTCCTCATTGGTTATGTCACTTGTCCCCTTTTCATCTCCTCTGGCAGATCACAGATTACAAGCGAAACCAGATCCAAAGCATTTCTCAGAGCTGCCTCTGATTAACCCCTGAAAATCCAACAGAGAACACAGTGCATGATTGTCTTATTTCTAAGCTACTAACACAATTGATGTTTAACTTCCTTGGACTAAAGCTTCCTCTGGATTCTGTAACAATAGACATAAATAGACATCTTGTGTGGGTTTTTTTCTGGGTTTTCTTTTTTTAATTTTTTTTTTTAAGAGACAGGGTTTCACCATGTTGCCCAGCCTGATTTCCAACTCCTGGGCTCAAGCGATTCTCCCACCTCGGCCACCCAAAGTGCTGGGATTACAGCTGTGAGCCACTGCACCGGTCCTTAATTGTTTAAATAAATAACTGGCAGTTTCCATTGAGTGTCTGTCTGTTGAATGAGTGTTTGTGATGTGGAGGACTCTGCTTCCTACTAGCATGAACAATACATCATGGTCACATCCTTGAAGAGTGCCTCGTCCATAAAGAGTCCTGTGATGGGCCGGGCGCAGTGGCTCATGCCTGTCATCCCAGCACTTTGGGAGGCTGAGGCGGGAAGATCACGAGGTCAGGAGATGGAGACCATCCTGGCTAACATGGTGAAACCCTTTCTCTACTAAAAATACAAAAAATTAGCCAGGCGTGGTGGTGGGCGCCTGCAGTCCCAGCTACTCCATTCCTGCAGCTCTGCTCTCGAGCTGTCTCTTTGACCTCAGCCTCCTCCATGTTCCCCCTCATTCACTGTGTTCCTGAGGCACTGACCTTCTTTCTGGTCCTTGAACATGCCAAGCTTGTCCCCCTTTTTGGGGCCTGGCATTGGCCATTCCTCCTGCTGGCATAGTTCTTCTCCCATATGTTCCATCATTTAGCCTGTGCTCAGTGCCGCCCCCTCAGAGCAGTCTGCACTGACCTCCCCCCAGCTTGTCCACCCGGTCACTCTCTGCCACATTACCTAATTTTATCCTCTCAGTGTGTGTCTGTGCCTGAGGTTAGCTGGTGCAGTTGTTTATCGCTTGTCTTTCTCTTCCAGAAAATTCCTTGAAGACAGTGACTTTCTCTTTCTTGTTCAATAGTACAGCCCCATGTATCTAGAACAGTGATGCATGGAAGATTTTCAATAAATACTTGCTGACTGACAGATGAACACCCCAGCCCAGCCTGGACAGAGCTCTAAAATCCCTTTTTTTTAATTTCTTTTTTTTTTTTTTTTTTTTTTGAGATGGAGTCTCACTCTGTCACCCAGGCTGGAGTGCAGTGGCATGATCTCATCTCACTGCAACCTCCACCTACTGGGTTCAAGCAATTCTCCTGCCTCAGCCTCCCGAGTAACTGGGATTACAGGTGCCCACCACTATGCCCAGCTAATTTTTTGCATTTTTAGTAGAGATGAGGTTTCACCATGTTGGCCAAGCTGGTCTGGAACTCCTGACCCTGTGATTCACCTGCCTTGGCCTCCCAAAGTGCTGGGATTACAGGCATGAGCCACTGTGCCTGGCCCAGAGCCCTAAAATTCTAAAGCCACATGCTCTGTCCTTTGCCCTTTGCTACCTGCTTACCACAGACTATGTCAAACCAGTGATGCTCCCTTCTCTTTTCACTGTTGCAGATTAATGCTTTTGATGTTAAAGGACACTTCTCTTTCATTTGACAATCTAACCAGTATCTCTTTTTCGTTGTTTGTTTAAAACTTGTAATTCTAGTTCCCTAGCCAAGATGTCCATTTGGAAATACTCTACAACCAGTTTCCATGTGCTTGAGAGTTGCAAAAGAGTCGTTAGTTTGCAACTTTTCATAATCGAAATTGGCACCTTCAATCTGTGTGAATTCTGACGTACTTCTACAACAGCATATCAAGATAGCTCATGCACACTCGATTGAAGAGGATGACCTTCTGCAATAGAGAAGGACTGTTCTTCATTCAAGGGTGTATGAGTAGCTGCACTCCCCTACTAGAAACTCCAAACAAGTTCTCAAAATAGCGAAATACTATTTACACTGTGAACCATAGTTGCCTTTAAGTGATTGCATTCTGCAGGTTTCCATCAGTCATCATCCTCTGGGACCACCCAGCTGTGGCCAGCAATGTACAGGAGTCCTCCTAGCTGCAGCTGCTTTCTAGGTTCTGTTTCAGTCTTCTCTTTCCTTTCGATTTTACTTGAACCATCACACCAATGCCTCCACTGCAAATCTTATCTCTGTGCCAGTGATGTCATATGTATTAAGTGTCTCTGTGCCCAAGTTTTTTCCCAACTCGATATTTGATTTGCAAACACAAACTTCTACCTTCTGCACACACCATGGGGAAGCCTTATCTCTGTCTTAAAAATAACATGGCTGCAATTTCTCCCTTTCCCCTGTCCTCAGAGCTTCTTCCCTAATTAATGATTGATGTGAGTTGACTCTTTGTTCTTCAGCCACTTCATCTCAAAAGTGTAGCCATCTTTAACTTCTCTCTCCCTCCCTCCCTCTTCCCACTCTGTGAGCCAGTTGATTTCTAACTGATGAGTATTTGGTCCTCACTTTGCATCCCATAATTTAATCCTCCTTCCACTTATATGTGTCCTAGGGAGTGCCTCCAGTGCTCTGCCCTGGGACTGATTCACCCCTAGTGATGTCTGTCTGCTTCTAGTCCCTCCTTGTCATTAATCATGAACTCCACACAAAGATTCATGTTCCTCAATTTCTCATACCCCTCTAGCACTCAGAAACCTCTAGTGACTCTCTTCAGCCTGACATTCAAAGTTCTTCTCAGTTTCACTCCTATCTGTATTTCTAACGGTAACTTTTATGGCCCCATACACCAGCAAAAAAACATTTCTACCTATTTTCTGGGCAAGATTCATATTTCACCTCTTACGTCTTTGCCCATACTCACATACATGGAATGCTTTCCGCTCTCATACAGCCTGGTGACATTTCTACCCATTACATGCTCAGAGATTTAAACAGTGGCGTATGTCTGCAGATTTATTTATAATGGCTAAAAAGGAAAGAAAAGGGAACAGCCTATGAATCTAACAATAGAACGGTAAAATTATTCTACGTGTACTTCATGAAACGTGATGCAGGCATTAAATACGCCTTCCAGAAATATTTAATGAAAAAAGCAAGTTGCAAGATTCTATCTGCATATAGATTTTTGTATATATATTTGTATATTAATATATGCATATTCATAGTGCATATATCAGTTATGAATATGCACAGGTGCCCACAACAAAAATGAACACTGGCTTAAATATATCGGTTTGCTTGTTTTATGCAACAGGAAGTCCATGGGTAAACAGCTCAGGGCTGCTATGATGACTCAAGGAAACGACCAAGGACCTTGGGTCTTTCTGCCTTTATCCTCATGTTGGTTGCCTCATGGTCAAAAGGTGGCTGAAAACCTATAGGTCTCTTATCCGTGTTCCAGGTAGCAAGCAGTGAGAAGGACAATAGTATAAAAGGGAGAGGGCACAGCAATTTTTCCTGCTAAGACTTTGTCTCCATTTAGGAATGGAAGGGTCCTCTAGGCACTTCTCTTACATCTCACTGGCTGCCACCTGGCCATCTCTGGCTGGAGAGAAGGGGTTGTGGCCAGATGCTGGATCAACCAATGGACAGAGTTTGCCATAGTGGATATGCCTGTAAGATTAATTTCAGATTTGATTTTAATCTCCTCTGATGCTAGGATAATATGCATGTATTACTTTTTTATCGGTGAAAAATTGAAAATTTAAGAAGCTACCTATCTCACGATGAATGTTACCTCCTCCTTAAAGCCATCATTTTAATAAGTGGATGAGATGTTTGCTTATTTACCTCAGGTATATGTGGAAATAGGATAGATCTTAGAGTTAGAAAACCATGAGTTCAAATTCCTTTGTGTCCATGACTAAACTGCATTCTCTGAAAACCTCAGTTTCTTCATCTGCAAAGTGTTGATTGTACTATACTATCTTATGGGGCTTTTGTGAAGGTTACATTAAATTGAATGTGAAAATATAGAAGAGACTAATAGCTTGTCAACACTAGTATTTTTCTCTTGAAAATTCTTGAAATACAGTATCTTTCTCATTTACCTCTATTTTGCTCTTTGTTTTAATTGCGTAGTTTTTCATTCCTCAACATTTTTTGGGAAGGCCATGACTATCTTTTTTCATAGAATCTTTTTTTAAAAGATACTCCTTACAGGCCAGGTCAGGCATGGTGGCTCATGCCTGTAATCCCAGCACTTATGGGAAGCCAAGGTGGGTGGATCACTTGAGGTCAGGAGTTCAAGACCAGCCTGGCCAACGTGGTGAAACCCTGTCTCTACTAAAAATACAAAAACCAGCCGGGCGTGGTGGCAGACACTTGTAATCCCGGCTACTCGGGAGGCTGAGGCAGGAGAATTGCTTGAACCCGGGAGGTGGAGGTTGCAGTGAGCTGAGATCGTACCACTGCACTCCAGCCTGGGTGACAGACTGAGACTCCGTCTCAAAAAAAAAAAAAAAAAAAAAAATATATATATATATATATATATGTGTGTGTGTATGTGTGTATATATATATATATTCATTCCTTACAGAATTCAGAATAGTGTCTATAGCCCATAGTATACAAGCAACCAATATATTAAAATTGAATTGATATTTTATTAAAAATATTTGAATGATCCATCATGGGATAACTGCCAAGAAATTGATGGTATCCCTTTTCCTCCACACTCTGGGCTAGGACTTGGGTAATGAATTGGGATTGTTGCCAAGCACCTATTTCTGGATAATCACTCTGAGTTTGTGCTGACAGATGCTGGCTCCACGATAGTCATCCAGAAGCCACAGGGGTGTAGGGTCTTCTAGAATGCTGTCAACACCACAAGCTGTGAGGTTTTTTCATCCTGTCCAAGAAAAAAATATACAGTAAAAGAGTCTCATGTCAAATTTAAAATGCCAACCTTAAAAAAAAAAATGAGCAGAGAGGTTTATTCTTTTCATTCTATTTCAATGATGTAGCCAGTGTAAGATGTTAGAAAATGAAAAGGGAGACCCATGAAAGTTCTAATGAGGGGAATTAAGAGACTCTTAAGGGGATTATGAGTATGATTCTCTAACAAACAGTTTCCCTTCTACAGTCTCTCTCTACCCCAGGCAAGGCTTGTGGTGCTGTGTTGTCATTGCTCATCTTATCGGAAATTAATAGAGAATTTTGTTTATGGACATCTAAAACTAGCTACAGTTATTTTTTTGCCCTCTTCCCCAAATCAAAATTATTAATACATACTATTCACAATTTTATTAATATTCCTGGTCATAATGATCCCAAATAATATACGCACCTAATAATTCCATTCTAGGAGTTTGCAGTCCGATGTATTGATAAGTGCTTATACCCAGCCTCTTTCTCCCTTACTGTCTTTAGTTTCTCATTTTTTGTTGTTGTTGTTGTTGGAAGCACCCTGGCCTGTGGTAGGTTCCCGTTGCATTTGGCAAATAGAGCATTATCCATCGGAGTAGCCATGTGGGGCTGGGCTGCGTTGATTATGTAGGGCCAGTTGGGAGACGGCCTCACTTATTTCAAGAACACACTGTGACAAATGTATGTGTTCCCAGTGGATTCCAAATGCCATAAACATAGGCAGCCAGCTGTCTTGGTAAGTCGCCACTGCTCAAGTCTTCCGGCATTGTTTTATGCAGTGTGGTGCTGAGCAGGTCAAACTACCTGCTTTAAGAAGCCTGCTACAGGGAGGAGGAGAAACAGCAGGAACTGGGGGAAGAAGTCCTGGGGCTCCATAGGAAAGTTCAGGTGGTCCATTCCAGGGTTCTGACTCTTGGATCTCATCTGTTGATTGCCCTGCACCTCAGGAATCCATTTGTCCTCCCCTACAGGAAAAACACCAAAGTACTTCAAATGCTTACTGCCCTTCCATCCACAGTCCCCTGGATTTCTCATGCTTTTGTTTTTTTCTCATAGTGCAGTGGGTCCCAAAAGTGGAGAGGAAGGAATTGCAAGCTTCAAGTTTAAAAGTCAGTTGAATCTTAACTTCTCAGAGTCAGAAGACAACTGAGGTTGGGCACAGTAGCTCACACTGTAATCCCAGCACTTTGGGAGGCTGAGGTGGGTGGATCACTTGAGGACAGGGTTCGAGACCAGCCTGGCCAACAGGGTGAAACCCAGTCTCTACTAAAAATACAAAAATTAACCAGGCATTGTGGTGGACGCCTGTAACCCCAGCTACTCAGAAGGCTGAGGCACAAGAATTGCTTGAATCCAGGAGGCGGAGATTGCAGTGAGCCGAGATCACACCACTGCACTCCAGCCTGGGTGACGGAGTGAGACTCCATCTCAAAAACTAAAAATAATTGTAAAAAAAAGAGGACACCTGAGAGTTACGGTTTCCAACTGCAGTGAGGTAGAGCCTGGGGCACCGCAGCAAATTCATGTAGGTGCTGTGGATATTTCAAATTTTCAAGGCAAACCTAGTAAAATTTGTTGCTCTGGTCACCACAGAAGCTATTATTTTGAAGCAGTTAATAATTTCAGTGTTCATGGCGAAACTAGGATTTTGGTGTTTGCTGTAACAGAAAACAGGGGTTAGGCAAAACTCTTCGTAGAACAAGAAATGAAGCAATTTCCAATCTGATTCCAAGGTTTGAAAAGCTGTGCGGTGCTGAACAGGTCCACACATCCCATTAGTGAGTAATAATTGTGGGTATTTGGGAATGAAAAATATATTTTATGTGTACAACTTTTTTCAAACAGCTACAAAATTGTTAGGATATAAATAAATATGAAGTCATTTGGACCTAACTACATAAAAACATCAAACTCTTAGGTGTTTCTTTTGGCTTAGGGAGTCCATGAAACAATAATTGAGACACTAAGGGTGCTGTGATCCAAGAAAATATGAGAACCTCTGCCTTAGAGTCCAGCTAGTCCAGCTAGTCTGATGTACTGATCATTGCTTTTCCCCTTACTCTTTATTTCCTCTTTTTGGAAGCACCATGACCTGTGGTGGGTTCTCATTGCATTTGACAAATAAAGCATTATACATGATGGTAGCCATGTGGGGCTGGGATGATTTGATTATACCAGGCCAGTTGAGAGACAGCCCATTTGATAATATTGACAGTCGTTTGATAACATTACAAATATTTAACAAGGAATGATGTCTTAACAAGATACTCAAACTACAGTAAAGCAAAGCATACTACCATTTATCACCAGCCATACTTACTAAAATTTTAAAATATACATATTTGTTCTAGAACTGGTAGGTCTGAACTCATCCTCAGAAGCCTGTGGGAGAAATCATACTTCAAAATAAAGCAAGATTAAGATAAACCAAACATACACATAACATGTTAACAGGCTTATAATTTTGAGTAAGAGCTTCGTTAATGGAAGATTACAAATTATGTTTTGAAATGAATACCTGAGTTAGGGATGGAGTTAGTGGAAATTATAAGAATATTCCACTTTCCTTTTGCTGTTGTTTAAGTTACAGTAACATGAACTCAGACCTCCACCATTCCTTTTCTTTAGATGGTACTATGATTGGCTTTTTTATTTTGTTATTATTTTTTATTTTTTAGAGACAGAGTCTCGCTCTGTCACCCAGGCTGGAGTGCAGTGGCGCGAGTTCAAGTGATTCCTGTGCTTCAGCCTCCCAAGTAGCTGGGATTTCAGGCGCCCACCACCATACCTGGCTAATTTTTGTATCTTTAGTAGAGATGGGGTTTCACTCTGTTGGCCAGGCTGATCTTGAACTCCTGATGTCAAGTGATTCACCTGCCTCGGCCTCCCACAGTGCTGGGATTACAAGTGTGAGCCATGGCGCCCTGCCAGTGCTATAGTTGGCTTTCTATTTGCCCTTGAATGTATTTGAGAATTTGGGAACAAAGACCATCACAAAGTGAAGATGACATATAATCAAGGGGTGTAAGTAAAGGTCGGGAATAAGCCCTGGAGATGATACAGATAGAGACAGAGATACAGGTTAGGGATAAATAATCTCAGAATAGTTTTAAAAGTCAACAATTTTTCAAAAACACTTAAACCTCACACCAATTTGGAGAATGCCTCTGGAGAAACAAACAAACAAAAAAAAATGTATTTGGTTTCTTAGGGATACTGATGGCCAAGTATCGGAAAGTTTCACTTGTTGAGTTTAACCTGAGTGACAGAGCAGTTGTGAGTTATTTGCCACTGGGAGAGGATTCATTAGCTCCCAGAGCTGCAGGGCTTCCAGATGTGCAGGGAACAACTGCATGAGAGGAGAGGCAGATGTCAGGCAAGGCCAATTGACTTCTCCCTTTAAAATATGGATCAGAATCATCATTAATCAAACAGCAAATACTTTTGCGCTCTGTCTTTAGGGAAGCAACTATATGTACATTGGCAAAGAAGATTGTGTAGACTGTGGATGGCCTGGGATGCTAAATTTAAAAGTTTGAGGTTTATCTTTTCTACAGTGGAGAACCATTGAAGATTTTTGACTTAATGAAAGAAGTATTTTCCCAGCACTTTGGGAGGTCGAGGCAGGAGGATCATGAGGTCAAGAGATTGAGACCATCCTGGCCAACATGGTGAAACCCCGTCTCTACTAAAAATTAGCTAGGCATGGTGGTGTGCACCTGTAGTCCCAGGTACTTAGGAGGCTGTGGCAGGAGAATCGCTTGAACCTGGGAGGCGGAGGTTGCAGTGAGCGGAGATCTTGCCACTGCAGTCCAGCCTGGTGACAGAGCGAGACTCTGTCTAAAAAAAAAAAAAAGACATTGAAGAGACATTTTTACAAAGCAGTCAGTGTGGCACATTGGAGCTGCTTCAAGACTAGTGTTGGGCTCAGGAGGCAGAGGCTGTTTAATGTTCTCTACAGCAGGGCTATCCAATAGAAGTATAATGAGACCATGTACGTGATGCTAAATCTTATGCATGTTAAAAAAAATTTAAAGCCAAAAATTATTTAACCCAACACATCAATATTAAAAATTATCGATATATTTTCCATTATTGATACTAAGTCTCCTAAATCCAGTGTGTATTTTACACATATGAACATTTGTCCGTTGGGTCTAGCCACATTTTAAGGGTTCAATAGCTACATGTGGCTTTTCACTACTGTATCAGACGCAGCAGCCCTACTGCCTTGCTACTCCAAGTGTGATCTGCAGACCGGCAGTATTGGCATCGTTTGAGAGCTTGTTAGAAATGCAGAATTCTCATGCCCTTCCTCCGACCTATTGAATCAGAGTCTCAGTTTTAATAAGTTCAAATCACCCCAGGTGATTTGTGTGCATGTTAAAGTCTAGAAGTACTGACTTCTAGCACAGTGGTTCTCAGCACGATCCTTAGACCAGGAGCAGAAGCTGCTTTACCACCTGGGATTTTTTTTTTTTTTTTTTTTTTTTTTTTGAGACCTAGTCTCCCTCTGTCACCTAGGCTGGAGTGCAGTGGCATGATCTCAGCTCACTGCAGCCTTGACCTCCTGGGCTCAGGTGACCCTCCTGCCTCAGCTTCCCAAGTATCTGGAAACATAGATAGGCACCATAACACTTGGTTAATTTTTCAAAATTATTTGTAGAGACAGGGTCTCCCTATGTTGCCCAGGCTGATCTCAAACTCCTGAGCTCAAGCGATCCTCCTGCCTTGGTCTCCCAAAGTACTGGGATTACAGGCATGAGCCACCACGCCCACCCCACCTGGCAAATCCTTGAGTTCCAACACAGACCTATTAAATAGAAACTCTGGAGCCAGAAATTTAGTTCTAACAAGCCATCCAGGTGATTCCTATGCATATTCAAGTTTGAGAACCACTATTTTAGAACATCCCCTTTCTCTGGCAAAAATATTGTTATCTTCCCTATGGACCTTATATTTTGATATTTTTTTTCTAATTCCTTTTTTTTAAGGAACTAATATAGTTTGGCACTATCATTACTCAACACACATCTCTTCATTGATATTACAGGGAGGGGAATGGAAACCTAGGATATTCTATTGTCTCATTAAATATATATTGATATATATGCATATATATACAACTATTGAAATAAGTGTCAATAACAGCTTCTGGTCAGTATGTAATAAAAGCTACAATTTATTGAGCATTTCCTGTGTCTTCAGCCCTATATAGGATATTTTACACTTATTCCTCTAGCCCTCTTCTAGCTCTTTGTAAGGTAGGCTGAAATATAGGAATATCCACATCTCACAATGAGTGCCCTAGTTTCCCAGGGCTTACATCTGGTCAGTGACAGAGCCAGGACTCCACCTAGGTCAGCCTGATCCCAACGCCTGTGTGTACCACTCACCACCCTGCATAAGCATTACCCTGCTATGTTTAAATAATTTAAACTAAAAGCAAAAGCACTTGAGATTTTAGTGAGTGTGCAATGGAAGTGTGATGATATTTGAAACACTGAAAGTAGCTCACAGGTTAACCATGAACTGTCCTCCCTACACACACACACACACACACACACACACACACACAATTCTGGTTTTGTTTTGAGACAGAGTCTCGCTCTGTCACCCAGGCTGGAGTGCAGTGGCAAAATCTCAGCTCACTGCAATCTCTGCCTCCTGGCTTCAAGCAATTCTCCTACCTCAGCCTCCCGAGTAGCTGGGACCACCACCATGCACCACCATGCCCGGCTAATTTTTGTATTTTCAGTAGAGGTGGGATTTCACCTTGCTGGCCAGGATGGTCTCAAACTTTTGACCTCAAGTGATCTGCCCACCTCGGCCTCCCAAAGTGCTGGGATTACAGACGTGAGCCACCGTGCCTGGCCTATACACACTCAATTCTACCTATGCTACCTACAGTGATTTCTGGTTAGAAACCACAGCCCAGGGCAGCACAGGCTCAGGTAAATCCAAAGAAGACAAGGGTAACACAGCATTGAATATCTTCACAGCAGCGCAGCACTGGCTGACAGTGAGGGACTGAGAGAATAGGGGTGGGAAGAAATCGAGTCCTCTGCCTGTCAAAAGAGTCTTTAATCACTGACATTGTTTAGAATTGCTGGTACCAGATAAACCAACTGAGCTTTTAGAATTTATTTTTAAATTCCCTGCAGACAAGGCCTCCTTTGATTGCCCTGGAACAGAATGCTCCCTCTGCTCCCCTTGCCCCCATTAGTTCACTGCCTTGCTGAAAATAACGGGACATTTTGCGAAGGGTCTGTCCTGATGCTTCCCTAGGGTTTGCAATGTTCTGATTGGGGGCACAAGAAATCTACACCATAAAAGTCTCCAGGAGAGAAGGTAATTGCCCCACTCATGCCACTCTGTCGCCTCCCACATTGTGCTGCATGAGTGGCTCACCTGCAAGTGACTGCTCATGCAATTGTATAAAACAAGTAGATGAACAACTGGATATAACAATTCAAATATTCTCTTCAGGGTTCCCTGAATATTCAGCTCCCCCTTGGCAACCATCTACGTGTTCCCTGGGTAATTTCTGGATATACTGCAGTGTTGAAGAGGACTCTGATAATTAGCCTCGAATTGTTTTCCATCCCACAGCGAAGTATCTTTGCACTGGAGTAGAATGTAAAGACACAAAATCAGCCATTTTTCTGAATTATAACATGTTTATGTCCTTTCTAGACATGGAGGGATCAGTGGCTTCTTGATAGGGTAGAATGTAGTACTTATTTTCTAAAGTCAATCATCATTTTTGTTACATTCTATAATAACAGATTCTGCAACATGGCAGCAGCTTGTGATTCTGTGGAGACTTCATTGTGATTTGAGTGTTAATTAATGCATTTGTAGCCGGCAGAATATGAACATCCTTTTCTCTGAACAGAATCATTGCAACAACACCATCTTGTCTTCCTGAAAACCTATGCTTTGAAAATAGCCTGGGAAAGTCAGCACCAGAGTAGTCATTGGAAAGCATCTAGGAAGAAAAAGATAGCCTTATGATGGATTTGTGAAGAAAAATTCTCATGTTAAAAGCTTCTTTTCTCTCCAGGACACAGTGAGGGACCTCACAGAGAAGAGCAATGCAAGTGCATTGTGCTGGGACTTACTGAGTTGTGATAACTGACGGGGTTTCTATTCTGCCTCCAGCAGAAGCAGAGTTGGAACATGGGAAGTCTGGAAGCTGGAATACAAGATAGGTTAGAGCACCAATAATATGTGCAGAAAGATGGAATAGCTAAAGGTTCATAATGAACATATAAATGGCAAGTGTATATATGAGCAATCACAATAGCATTTCAGCACATAGAGACTGGGTGAATTTATTATAGTTCTAGATGCTGGATAAGCTTTAACCTGGAGGGTTGTTAGAAAACCGAGATATACCTAATGTAAATGACGAGTCAGTGGGTGCAGCACACCAACATGGCACATGTATACATATGTAACAAACCTGCATGTTGTGCATATGTACCCTAGAACTTAAAGTATAAAAAAAAAAAAAAAAAAAAATCATCGCTCAGTACCACGGATAGCTCAGGGAACGTATACATTTGTTATCAATTAACCCATTTTATCTAAATGCAGACAGTTGATTAGCACCTATTCCAAAAAGTGGGCACCAGCCCAATGGTAAAAGACCGGCAATTCACATCCAGCCTGGGCCCCCAATGTCAGAGCCTGAATCTTTGCACCAGACTCGCCCGTGTTGGTCCCTGCCATGTGTCCCAGATGGGTTTGTAGACCTTACGGAAGGCGATTTGGTAACTTGCTGCCCATGCACTTTTGGGCTCGGTAGTGACAAAGGACCAGTGGAAATCCCCTGTCTGAAGGCCTTGTTCGCTTTGTTCCTGGATCCCAGCAGAGGGGCCCTGCACTCCTTTTGAAAGAGGAATATTTATTTATAGATTTTATGGAAAATCATGAAATTCTCAAACGTTGCCAGTCTGAAAAGCAGAAAACAATTAGGTTGACCTGCTCTAATTTAAAAACATTTATCTGGAATTGTTGTGGTTTTTGTTTGCTCTTCAGTGCAAACTTTTTTTTATTTTTATAAGTTCTAGGGTACAGGTACAAAACGTGCAGGTTTGTTGCATAGGTAAACACATGCCATGGTGGTTTGCTGCACCCATCACCTACATTGGGTATTTCTCCTAATGCTATCCCTCCCCTAGCCCCCCACCACCCAACAGGCTCCAGTGTGTGATGTTACCCTCCCTGTGTCCATCTGTTCTCATTGTTCAACTCCCACTTATGAGTGAGAACGTGCGGTGTTTGATTTTCTGTTCTTGTGTTAGTTTGATTAGAATGATGGTTTCCAGCTTCATCCATGTCCCTGCAAAGGACATGAACTCATCCTTTTTTATGGCTCCATAGTATTCCATGGTATATATGTGCCACATTTTCTTTATCCAGTCTATCATTGATGTACACTTGGGTTGCTATTGTGAACATACGTATACATGTGTCTTTATAGTAGAATGATTTATAATCATTTGGGTATATACCCAGTAATGGGATTGCTGGGTCAAATGGTATTTCTGGTTCTAGATCCTTGAGGTATCACCACACTGTCTTCCACAATGGTTGAACTAATTTACACTCCCACCAACAGTGTACAAGCTTTCCTATTTCTCCACATCCTCTCCAGCATCTGTTGTTTCCTGACTTTTTAATGATCCCTATACTAACTGGCATGAGATGGTATCTCATTGTGGTTTTGATTTGCATTTCTCTGATGACCAGTGATGATGAGCTTTTTTTCATATGTTTGTTGGCTGCAGAAATGTCTTATTTTGAGAAGTGTCTGTTCATATCCTTTGGACACTTTTTGATGTTTTTTTTTTCTTGTAAATTTGTTTAAGTTCTTTGTAGATTCTGGATATTAGCCCTTTGTCAAAGGGATAGATTGCAAAAATTTTCTCCCATTCTGTAGGTTGCCTGCTCACTGTGATGATAGTTTCCTTTACTGTGCAGAAGCTCTTTAGTTTAATTAGATCCCATTTGTCAATTTTGGCTTTTGTTACCATCGCTTTTGGTGTTTTAGACATGAAGTCTTTGCCCATGCCTATGTCCTGAATGGTATTGCCTAGGTTTTCTTTTAGGATTTTTGTGATTTTCCATCTTATGTTTAAGTCTGTAATCCATCTTGAGTTAATTTTTGTATAAACTGTAAGGAAGGAGTACAGTGTCAGTTTTCTGCATATGGCTAGCCAGTTTTCCCAACACCATTTATTAAATAGGGAATCCTTTCCCCATTGCTTCTTTGGGTCAGGTTTGTCAAAGATCAGATAGTTGTAGATGTGTGGTATTATTTCTGAGGGCTCTGTTCTGTTCCATTGTCCTGTATGTCTGTTTTTATACCAGTACCATGCTGTTTTGGTTACTGCAGCCTTGTAGTATAGTTTGAAGTCAGGTAGCATGATGCCTTCAGCTTTATTCTTTTTGCTTAGGATTGTCTTGGCTATGCAGGCTCTTTTTTGGTTCCATATGAAGTTTAAAGTAGCTTTTTCCAATTCTATGAAGAAAGTCAATGGTAGCTTGATGGGGATAGCATTGAATCTATACATTACTTTGGCCAGTATAGCCATTTTCATATTGATTCTTCCTATCCATGAGTATGGGATGTTTTTTGTTTGTGTCCTCTCTTATTTCCTTGGGCAGTGGTTTGTTGTTCTTCTTGAAGAAGTCCTTCACATCCCTTGTAAGTTCTATTCCTAGGTATTTTATTCTATTAGTAGCAATCACGAATGGGAGTTCACTCATGATTTGGCTGTTTGTCTATTATTGATGTATAGAAATACCTGTGATATTTGCACATTGATTTTGTATTCTGAGACTTTGCTGAAGTTGCTTATCAGCTTAAGGAGATTTTGCACTGAGACAGTGGTGTTTTCTAAATACACAATCATGTCATCTGCAAACAGAGACAATTTGACTTCCTCTCTTCCTATTTGAATACGCTTTATTTCTTTCTCTTGCCTGATTGCCCTGGCCAGAACTTCCAATACTATACTGAATAGGAATAGTGAGAGAGGGCATCCTTGTCTTATGCTGGTTTTAAGGGAACGCTTCCAGTTTTTGCCCATTCAGGATGATATTGGCTGTGGGTTTATCATAAATAGTTCTTATTATTTTGAGATATGTTCCACTGATACCTAGTCTATTGAGAGTTTTTAGTATGAAGGGGTGTTGAATTTTGTCGAAGGCCTTTTCTGCATCTATTGAGATAATCATGTGGGTTTTGTCATTGGTTCTGTTTATGTGATGTATTATGTTTATTGATTTGCATATGTTGAACCAGCCGTGCATCCCAGGGACAAAGCCGACTTGATCGTGGTGGATAAGCTTTTTGATATGCTGCCAGATTCAGTTTGCCAGTATTTTATTGAGGATTTTCACATCCTTGTTCATCAGGGATATTGGCCTGAAATTTTCTCTTTTTGCTGTGTCTCTGCCAGGTTTTGGTATCAGGATGATGCTGGCCTCATAAAATGAGTTACGGAGGATTCCCTCTTTTTCTATTGTTTGGAATAGTTTCAGAAGGAATGATACCATCTCCTCTTTGTACCTCTGGTAGAATTTGGTTGTAAATCCATCTGGTCCCGGACTTATTTTTTTTTTTTGGTTGGTAGGCTATTAATTAGTGCCTCAATTTCAGAACTTGTTATTGGTCTATTCAGGGATTTGACTTCTTCCTGGTTTAGACTTGGGAGGGTGTGTCCAGGAATTTATCCATTTCTTCTAGATTTTCTGGTTATATGCGTAGAGGTGTGTATTGTATTCTCTGATGGTAGTTTGTATTTCTGTGGGATCTGTGGTAATATCCCCTTTATCATTTTTCTTGTGTCTAGTTGATTCTTCTCTCTTTCTTCTTTATTAATCTGGCTAGCAGTCCATCTATTCTGTTGATCTTTTCAAAAATCCAGCTCCTGGATTCATTGATTTTTTGAAGGGTTTTTTTGTGTCTCTATCACCTTCACTTCTACTCTCATCTTAGTTATTTCTTGTCTTCTGCTAGCTTTTGAATTTGTTTGCTCTTGCTTCTCTAGTTCTTTTAATTGTGATGTTAGGGTGTCGATTTTAGATCTTTCCTGCTTTCTCTTGTGAGCATTTAGTGCTGTCAATTTCCCTTTCCACACTGCTTTCAGTGTGTCACAGAGATTCTGGTACATTGTGTCTTTGTTCTCATTGGTTTCCAAGACCATCTTTATTTCTGCCTTCATTTTGTTATTTACCCAGTAGTCATTCAGGAGCAGGTTGTTCAGTTTCCATGTAGTTGTGCAGTTTTGAGTGAATTTCTTAATCCTGAGTTCTAATTTGATTGTACTGTAGTGTGAGAGACTGTTATGATTTCTGTTCTTTTGCATTTGCTGAGGAGTGTTTTCCTTCCATTTATGTGGTCAATTTTAGAATAAGTGCATTGAGGTGCTGCGAAGCATGTATATTCTGTTGATTTGGAGTGGAGAGTTCTTAGATGTCTATTAGGTCTGCTTGGTCCAGAGCTGAGTTCAAGTCCTGAATATCCTTGTTAATTTTCTGTCTCATTGGTCTAATACTGACAGTGGGGTGTTAAAGTCTCCCACTATTATTGTGTGGGAGTGTAGGTCTCTTTGTAGGTCTCTAAGAACTTGCTTTATGAATCTGGGTGCTCCTGTATTGGGTGCATATATATTTATGATGGTTGGTTCTTCTTGTTGCATTGATCCCTTTACCACTATGTAATGCCCTTGTCTTTTTTGATCTTTGTTGGTTTAAAGTCTGTTTTATTAGAGATTAGGATTGCAACTCCTGCTCGTTTTTTGCTTTCCACTTGCTTGGTAAATATTTCTCCATCTCTTTATTTTGAGCCTATGTGTTTTTTTTCCATGTGAAATGGGTCTCCTGAATACAGCACACTGATGGGTCTTGACTCTTGTCCAATTTTCCAGTCTGTATCTTTTAATTGGGACATTTAGCCCGTTTACATTTAAGGTTAATATTGTTATGTGTGAATTTGATCCTATCATTATGATGCTAACTGATTATTTTGCCCATTAGTAGATGCAGTTTCTTCCTAGTGTCGATGATCTTTACAATTTGGTATGTTTTTGCAAAACACCCGACTGGTACTGGGTGTTCCTTTCCATGTTTAGTGCTTCCTTCAAGAGCTCCTGTAAGGCAGGCCTGGTTGTGACAAAATCTCTCAGCATTTGCTTGTCTGTAAAGGATTTTATTTCTCCTTCAATTATGAAGCTCAGTTTGGCTGGATATGAAATTCTGAGTTGAAAATTCTTTTAAGAATGTTGAATACTGGCCCCACTCTCTTCTGGCTTGTAGGGTTTCTGCAGAGAGATCTGCTGTTAGTCTGATGGACTTCCCTTTGTGGGTAACTCGACCTTTCTCTCTGGCTGCCCTTAACACTTTTTCCCTCGTTTCAACCCTGTTGAATCTGACAATTATGTGTCTTGGGGTTGCTTTGCTCGAGGAGTATCTTTGTGGTGGGTCTCTGTATTTCCTGAATTTGAATGTTGGCCTGTCTTGCTAGGTTGGGAAGTTCTCCTGGATAATATCCTAAAGAGTGTTTTCCAGCTTGGTTCCATTCTCTCTGTCACTTTCAGGTATACCAATCAAGTGTAGATTTGGTCTTTTCACATAGTCCTGGATTTCTTGCAGGTTTTGTTCATTCCTTTTCATTGTTTTTTCTCTAATCTTGTCTTCTAGCTTTATTTCATTAAGTTGATCTTCACTCTCTGATATCCTTTCTTCCACTTGATCGATTTGGTTATTGATACTTGTGTATGCTTCACAAAGTTCTCATGCTGTGTTTTTCAGCTCCGTCAGGTCATTTATGTTCTTCTCTAAACTGGATATTCTAGTTAGCAATTTCTCTAACCTTTTTTCAAGGTTCTTTAGCTTCCTTGCATTGGGTTAGAACAAGCTCCTTTAGCTCGGAGGAGTTTGTTATTACCCACCTTCTGAAGCCTACTTATGGTCAATTCATCAAACTAATTCTCCATCCAGTTTTGTTCTCTTGCTGTTGAGGACGTGTGATCCTTTGGAGAAGAGGTGTTCTGGGTTTTAGAATACTCAGCCTTTTTGCACTGGTTTCTCCCCATCTTCGTGGATTTATCTACCTTTGGTCTTTGTTGTTGGTGATCTTCCGATGGGGTTGCTGAGTAGATGTGCTATTCCTTTTTGTTAGTTTTCCTTCCAACAAGTCCCTCTGCTGTGGATCTGCTGGAGTTTGTTAGAGGTCCACTCCGTACCCTGTTTGCCTGGGTATCAGGGCTGCAGAACAGCAAAGATTGCTGCCTGTTCTTTTTTCTTGAATCTTCATCTGAGGAGCACATGCCAGATGCCAGTTGGAGCTCTCCTGCATGAGGTATCTGTTGGCTCCACCTGGGAGCTGTCTTCCAGTCAGGATACATGAGAGTCAGGGACTAACTTGAAGAGGCAGTCTGACCCTTAGCAAAGCTCAAACACTGTGCTGAGAGGTCTGCTGCTCTCTTCAGAGCCGTTGGGCAGGGGCATTTAAGTCCGTTGAAGCTGCGCCCACAGCTGCCCCTTCCCCCAGGTGCTCTGTCCCAGGGAGATGAGGGTTTTATCTATAAGTTATCCCTGACTGGGGCTGCTGTCTTTTTTTCAGAGATGCCCTTCCCAGACAGGAGAAATCTAGAGAGGCAGTCTGGCCATAGCAGCCTAGCTGAGCTGCAGTGGGCTCCACCCAGTTCGAATTTCCTGGCGGTTTTGTTTACACTGTGAGGGTAAAACTACCTACTCAAGCCTCAGCAATGGTGGACTCCCCTCCCCCAGCCAAGCTCGAGCATCCCAGGTTGATCTCAGACTGCTGCTGTGCTGGCAGCGACAATTTCAAGCCAGCAGATCTTAGCTTGCTGGGCTCCATGGGGTTGGGACCCACTGAACCAGACCACTTGGCTCCTTGGCTTCAGCTTCCTTTCCAGGGGGGTGAACAGTTCTGTCTCGCTGGCATTCCAGGTGCCACTGGGGTATGGAAAAAAAACTGCAGCTAGTTCAGTGTCTGCCCGAATGGTCACCCAGTTTTGTGCTTGAAACCCAGGGCCCTAGTGGGGTAGGCACTGGAGGGTACCTCCTGGTCTATGGGTTTTGAAGACTGTGGGAAAAGTGCAGTATCAGGGCTGAGGTGCATGGTTCCTCAGGCTTAGTGCCTCACGGCTTCCCTTGGGTAGGGGAGAAAATTCCCTGACCCCTTGCACTTCCCAGGTGAGGTGACACCCCACCCTGGTTCGGCTCACCCTCCATGGGCTGCACCCACTGTCAAGCCATTCCCAATGAGATGAACCTGGTACCTCAGTTGGAAATGCAGAAATCACCTGCCTTCTGTGTCAATCTTGCTGGGAGCTGCAGACCGGAGCTCTTCCTATTTAGCCATCTTTCCAGCCATACCCTTTTTTCATGTTTTGGGGGATACTAATGGTTGCCCGAGAAAGGTAGCCTTCATGTGTATTAAGAAAGGCCTTTCAGTATTAATATACACTGTTTATGGGGGAATTAAAGCACTCCCAGCCCCATGGAGTCATTTGAAATTCTTAATTACTTATGTTATGGGCATAAATTCATTAGGGCCTTCTCTCTTCTCCCTTTTGTTTGTCTTTGTAAGTAGCAGAGTTCCAGAAGTTCATTATGAACATTCAGTAATGGAATCATGGGGGGTGGTACAAAAAAAAAAAAAACTTCATTCATTAAAATCTTATGGATAAGCTGTGTGGATGAGTGAAGTCTGACATATAGAATACCTTTAAAGAGTGGTATTTTAGTGTTTTAAAATGCATACTTCATATACCACATCAAAGCAGCCTCAGAGCCAATTGTCAAACAGATGTTTAGCAGCAGACTGTTGTTTTAATGAGCCAATAACTCATTCCTAACAAGCTTGGTTTGCTTATCATCAGTGTTACTCAAAATATATTGGTACCTTTCACTGAGTTAAAGATGAATGCTCCAAAACTTTTAAGAGGCTCTCACTTCATAAATAGTGGAAATGTATTCTGTAACCCCAAATTACTGTAATCTTAAATTTGTGTTGTTTAATAAGGAATTATTATATATATTCTTACTTATTACTATAAACTTTGACTTCAGAAAAGCTCTCATTGCCAAAACTATTTTAGCCAAACATTTTTGTCATCTCACCTCTGCCTAGGCTGCAGTGGAGTTCTTGTAGCTTCAAAGTGCTTCTTTTCACATCTTCTTTGATATGCTGATAGTTACCAGACTAAATAATCAAAAAAGTATTCCTTAAATGAAAACAAAAAATTTCACTGGTGACATGTTCATATTACCCTGGTAGTATAAAGACAGGCATGTTTGATTTGTTAGTCCAATTAATGTATTATTTGTGTTCAATCAAAGACTTTCTTTAAAGGCGATTGTTAACCATTATGATGACATGGAGAAACAAACATCTATAAGATTACTAAAAGACCAGCTGTTCTTAATCAAGATGCATCATTCTCACTGGGTGTTTGTTTTTGTAAATGCTGGAGATTCTGGTTCCATTGGTTTGCAGTGGCACCTCAGCATGTGCATTTTGAAAATACTTGCTCAGTATATTTGGTTGTGCAACCTGGTGAGGAACCACTTCCTCCTCAAGCATTCATTTATATGCAGCAATGTAAACACATGTGAATGAGCAAATTGCCCACCTAAATCTCTGCACAAAAGGGTATCTAATGTATGCCAAATTATTTTGTTTTTACATGTACCATGATGCACGACACACATTGTTTTCACATAGGCAATCCACATCTATGGATATATTTACTGGATGTGTGATTTGGGATAAGTTTCTGTACCTCTCTGTGCCTTGGTTGCCTCTTTTGTAACATGGAGATGAAAGCCTGATACTCAGTGTTTTTGTGAGGACTTAACAATATCACGTATGTGAAATACTTGGAACTTCATCAGGCAGTTATTAAAGGTTCCATAAATGTTAGTGATACGGTTTGACTGTGTTCCCACCCAAATCTCATCTTGAATTGTAGCTCCCATAATCCCCACATGTCATGGAAGGGACCTGGTGGGAGGTAATTGAATCATGGAGATGGGTTTTTCCCATGCTGTTCTCATGATAATGAGTAAGTCTCATGAGATCTGATGCTTTCATAAAGGGCAGTTCCCCTGCACATGCTCTCTCTTGCCTGCTGCCATGTAAGATGTGCCCTTGCTCCTCCTTTGCCTTCTGCCATGATTGTGAGGCCTTCCCAGCCATGTGGAGCTGTGAGTCCATTAAACCTCTTTTTCTTTATCAATTACCCAGTCTCAGATATGTCTTTATTAGCAGCATGAGAACAAACGAATATAGTTAGTTATTATAGTTGTCACTGTGAATGCTGCTGTCAGTCACTGTGTCTACCCAGGATCCTGTTATAGCCAACATGGCTACTATTTATCATTGTTATTATTACTATCATTATTATGTCTGTCACTCTCAAAAGGCTACCAGAAAGCAAGTGACTATGACTTTATAGTAGGAATAATGGTAAATCTAATTTATAAAGGCAAATTAGGCTTCATTCTTTGGACCTTTCATTTTATCAGTAACAGAATTACATGTACAACTCAACTCAGTGAACATTCAAGCATATCATACCACTAACTACAGTGGCTCATAAGATATATCACTAGTCTGTGAATTTTAAAGAAGGATTAATTTCTCCATTTTCCCCAAGTTAACTTCCTTCCTGAAAAACTATGTTATCAGTCAGCATCTATTTGGTCAATAACTTCAAGTAAAATGTAGGAGATGTCACATATGTGAATTACTTAGAAAAAGGTTCCATAACTATTAGTGATATGCAAGGAGAGCATAATGAGTCAGTAACTAAAGAGGTGGAAAATCACTTGCTGAATAAAATCAGTGTCTTCCCTGACATATTCACTTTTAATAATCTTGGGATTTGTTTCGGGCTTGGGAGTTGAACGATGCATCTGTGCCAAAGAGAAAAGTCTAGTGGTATGCAGTGGCTCCCATCAGGGTGTGTGTGTGTCTGTGTGTGTGTGTGTACACGCACACACACGTGCATGAACATGGGTAAATAGAGGCAAGTGTTGTTTTGAGAGGGCCCAGCTAACTTGGGGTTTCAGCACCAGAGTGGCTAGCCACCCTGTCTTAACAGGAAATGAAGGGGAGCTGAACATGGATGTTTGCTGTGTGCCTCTTATGGGATGCTTCTTTTGACTGGAGGACAGTCTAGTGCCCAGTTGTCCCACCTGTGACCAGGAGGGTCTCTCATACAGGCAGCTTGTTTATGCTGGCAGATGCCCTTGTGGCTCTTGTCTGACCCATGTCCAGTTTATGCCTCCCTGACCATTGCTGTGGCACTGGGAGCCCAACCTTGTGTTCTCCCCTGTTTCCCAGGGAAAACCCAGCCTGGGACAGCCCCTGGTTCTTCAGATGGTGCAAATTCAATATACCACCACAACAGGAAGCAAGTTCAAAGACTTTTACTTACAGATCCTGGACAAGGACAGCATAATGAGTCAGGGTGCGACGCGGAGAAGTGCTTCATCCCTGGGTTATGTGAAGGACTGAAAAGTCAGGCAGAGATGGAGAATGCATGGCAGCTAGTAGTTTGTACAAGGGAACAGGGTGTGTGTCACTTCCCAGGTGGCACTTCCCCTGATGGCCCACTTAAAGGGCACGCTGGGAACACGAGGAATCCAGTCAGGCAGGTGGCAGAGATGCTTCTGAGTTCTTATCTCTGGCCACCAGCTTGAGCCATTTGGGTGTGGTATAGCACCGGAAATTGCATCAAGGGTGACTGAGCCCTGCTTTTGGTATGAGAAAGTGAAACCTACATTTAAAAGGGATGCCAAAACAACATAAAATTATAAGAATTTACTACAACTGTATTTTAGAATAGCATCAGCTTTCGTCTTTTCCTTAATCACACCTATCAGTCAGAATAGAATCTAAGGGTTGTTCATTGGTTTCCAGGTGTTTACCATTGTGAAGGTTTGAGACATGCTTTTTTTCACAGTCTATGTTTTACATCCCACTGGTTGCTGGCAGGCTTTTTCTCATTTCCTTTAAAGCCACACACAACCTATTTATCAGACTAAGGATGTGACAGTCTTTTTTAAATTTCCCATAAATAAAAGTTACAACTTGTACTGGAGAAGATGCTTTCTTTCAAAAGGTCATTGAAATCTCAAGATGGTAAAAGCAGCTTGTTCTAGAAATATGGCTGCATAATGATAATCACAGTTCAAACCTTGATCATTTGAGTTTTTTTTCTTAAGTAAAATATCAAGCCCTGTTCTTGCTCCCTCTCAAAAAAGAACGATTTCTTCTGTGAAAGGAATGTAAGTAAAAAGGAGAATGAAGAGAGGAGAGGTGGGAAGCTATTTCAGCTGAGAGACCTCTCACCCCCACTATATCGTCCCCTGTGGAGTTTTTATTCCACCTTAGGGAAAAGCTTTTGTAAGATAATAAATTTTCTAGTAAAGCCAGGTCGATACTGGCAGGTGGGAAAACAGTCACGTGGAAGGTTATAAACAATTTGCATTTTAGGCAGAGCAGCAGGAAACTCAGAAAAGCGCCCTCAAAGATTTACAAGTAACATGTACATACTTTGAAATTAATCACATATAAATCAAGTATAGAAGTGCTAAGCAACTGTGTACTAAGTTGTAGAAATAATTGGAGGCTCCAGTGAGATAACTTAGGCAGTGCTTCCCAAAAGTAGTGTAATTGAAGACTCCTGGGGTAATGTAGAGGTGGGAGGAGCCTTTCTGTCCACACCCATCCTCAACCCATTGCATCTGTCAGTGTCAGTTTGTTAACTCACTGGATGCTTGATCTGCTTTTTACAGGTTAAAACAGATAAATAACATTGCATTTCAAAAACTTTCCTTTTAAGCTTACAGTGTCTTGCTCTTGACCTGAATTCCATTTGCAAATAACATGTGCATGTACTGATGATTGACATGGCCCATCAGTGAATCTGGAGACTAGTCATGCTTCAAGAACAATACTGGAGATAGTTTTGTAAAAACATTTGTCAATTCACTGGAAAAAATTTAATAAACCTTCCAGGGGTGTGCAGTTCCGTTTGGATAAAGCATACATACTTTTCACATACAAAATTAGTTTTAACAGTCACTTCCCCCACATTCACTTGGGCTTCTGACATCCAGGGGATTGAGGAAGATTTTATTTCCAAGAACAGATGGTTTTTCTGCACTTTCCATAATTGCATACAACTGCATGAATTTCCCTTTTTTTTTTTCTTTTTTTTTTTTTTGTGCTTTCAGATGCATGACCTATGGCTGGGTATTAGGAGTTTGACTTCCTTTACCCAAATGCCTCTTTAAAAATAAAGATAATGACTTTCACAGACAGTCACTTATCCTTTGCACATACATGGTCTTCAAAATTGACTCCCTAAAAAGCCTCAAACTTTGCCAAAATTAAGGAATTGAAGGACGAAATTACTTATAGACAGCTGGAGGCTTATTCACATCTGCTGGAATATATATAAATACACACACAACACATTTTATACCTCTCTCTTTAGGAGACCCAAAAGAAATAAAGGATACTATTTCCTTTCTCCAGTGAAGAGACTGACTCTTTTGCCCATCTCTCTCTGCTCATCCTGCTCTTTGATCATCTTCTCTTCTACTTTTTTCCTTTCCCTTTTTTTTTTCCATCTCCGTTCACCTTTTTCTTTCACTCCCCACTTTGCTGAATGGTGAATTCCTAGTCAACCCAGCCCAAATTCTTGAGACCCAAAAAGACAGAGAAAATGCTGGGAGATAGAATGAATGGACAGCAATGACATCATTGTCCTATTTCACATTTATTAGAAAGAATTTCTTTTCTGACATGATGATTAAGCATCCTTTCTACCTCTTTCCTTCCCTCCCTTGTTCTTTGAATTCTAATTCAATTAAAATAAAATCCACACAGGATTTCTCTCTTCGCAGCAAGTAAGACTTGAGGGAAGTATTTTCTCTCTTTTGCTTCACATATATTTCCATGAATTTCTTGATTCTTTACCTAGTCCTGAGATGTTTATGACATTCAGAACCAGAACAAACTAATACACACCTGTAGATATTAGTATGAACTGGGTATGAAAGCTGCGGGATCTCTGCCTACTATTTTTGTGAAGAATGGTATTGATTATTGCTGACATTCTTTTTTACATTCACCATCTTGGTGAGTTAGAGAATATTTTGCTGCCATGCTACCATCTACCCTCCACCCCAAATATTTCTAACCTAAGAATAATAATGCACATGCTTTATGATTCTGGCACGGCTTGAGCTGTCTATTCTAATTTAGCAGAGAACCATTTTGCAAAATTTGTAAAAGCATAACTGAGCCAGGGAAAAACTTCTTGCAGCTTTTTAGCATCACGGCCTTGACCGTGAAAGAGAAACTAGAACTCAATGTTTATGGGAAATAACCACACACACACATACATTCTGTGTAGACAATCACTAAGATCTCATCCCTAGGCAATTTCTTTAATACGTTAAGGTTGTCTGAAGGACTGAGATAATAAAATAGCTAAATCTAGGCAATAAATGCAGACGCTGGCTTCCTGGGGACTTGAGGCTACATAATTTTCTTTGCATTTTAGGTTTCTCGGTTACAGAGTGACGATAATCATATTGACCTGCTTCCTGTAATGTTTGTAGTCATTGCCTAGTGGCTTTTCAACTGATAAATTAGTACCCTGCCACAGGGAAACGATTGATGCAGTGTAACAATGAAAAAGCACTTTAGCAGTGACAATGCTCAACAAAGAACATCCAGTTTATATGGAGAAGAAAGAAATGTTCCTTCCTACTGAATAAAAACAACAAAGGTCCCTGCTTCCAGTGTTCCTGGTTCTTTCATTCTGTGATGTCAATCTTTTGACATTTTAATTGGAAGTTTCATTTTGTGTAAGATTTAAATTTAGCTTCCAACCCCAACTTGTTAATTGAATAAATGTCAAATTCTTGACTCAATTCATTTTATACTTTTATGCCAAATATTTAAATTTTTTTGCCTACCAAATAGGCAATAACTAGCCTTTGCAACATGCAGAAGTGTTTGCTCCACCTTTGAGGTCGAGCAGCTGTGTCTATTGTTCCAAGATGTCCAGCTTGCAAGGTTCCAGTGTCATCAACAGAAGTAGGAATCTCTCCTTCCCCTTTGCCGTACCAGCTCCGATGCCCGATGTGGTTGTACCTTGGTGTTCTCTGTCTTGATTGAGAAATTATCAAGGGCACCAAATATATTTCTGACAGGCCTTGCTAGACATGTATAATCTCTTCTTTCTTGATGTATGTTACTTCTGGAAGAGATCTTAACCACCAAAATGAACCAAGGAAAAGGAGAGTGAAATGTTCCTAAGTCAGAATCAGCTGCTGTGACTGTGTGTGCATCAGTTTATCTGCAGTGTTCACGAGCATCTTACCTCACATATCCAACTCAGGACCTCTGGACAAAACTTAAATATTCACAATGAATATTTTCCTCAAAACATTATGTTCATTTTTACAATATAGGAAACTTAAAGAGAAACATACATTGCAAATTCAACCACTTTAATACTATTTTTTTTTCCTGTTCCCAGAGGTACATATACTTCTATATAGCTGTAAATAGATGATATGGTTTGTCTGTGTCCCCACCCAAATCTCATATTGTAGCTCCCACAATTCATGGGAGGGCGGGTCTTTCCCATGCTGTTCTCATGATAGTGAATAAGTCTCACGCGATCTGATGGTTTTTATAAAGGGGAGTTCCCCTGCACACGCTCTTGCCTGCTGCCATGTAAGACATGCCTTTCTCCTCCTCTGCCTTGTGCCATGATTGTGTGGACTCCCCAGCCATGTGGAACTATGAGTCCATTAAATGCCTTTTTCTTTATAAATTACCCAGTCTCAGGTATGTCTATAATTATTAGCAGTATGAGAACAGACTAATACAATAGATTATACCTAGAATGCATAAAATTATCTATGATTTACAATGCAGTAAATATTACTGTACCGATAAAAACAAGATACCATAAGTCCCCATATGCTGCCATTGATTACTTTTTTCTTACAATAAAAAGCAATCATATTGTATCTAGTATCTTATAATCTCCTGTTTACATTTTCTTCATGAAATAAACATTTTTTTACTTATTATTTTTTGAGATGAATTCTCACTCTTGCCCAGTCTGGAGTGCAGTGGCTCAATCTCAGCTCACGGCAACCTCCATCTCCCGGATTCAAGTGACTCTCCTGCCTCAGCCTCCAGAGTAGCTGGGACTACAAGCGCGTGCCACCACACTTGGCTAGTTTTTGTATTTTTAGTAGAGATGATGTTTCGCCATGTTGGCCAGGCTGGTCTCGAACTCCTGACCTTGTGATCCACCTGCCTCGGGCTCCCAAAGTGCTGGGATAACAGGCGAGAGCCACCACACCCGGCCAAAATACACATTTTCCAGTGTCAATAAAGTTATCTATAAAATCATGAAAGGCTCAATAACATTCACTTACGTGGACATATTGTCATTTATTTAACCACATCCTAGGGGTGATTTAGGTTGTTTCCAATTTTCTGCCCTTCTAACATGCACCTGTTATGTTGAACAACTCAGTGATAGTTGAGTTAGGGGTGTGATCTCTCTAGGTCTCAACTTCTTTAATATGAGAGATTTCAAATAGTTATTTCTCAATACTAACTTCTGATTTTAAAAGCCTGTGGGCCATCTGTATAGGATGGAGAAAGCTAGAAAGAAGAAAAATTCTATATCTCCAAATTCACAACTTTTCTTGAACACAACCATAGAGTTGATGTTGCCGAGTAACAAACTAATCCAAAACCTAAGGATAAAGAGACAGGACATAAGCATTTACTCATCTGAGGAAGACACTGCCACACATAGGTGAAAAGAATTCAGGTTGAGGACAGTGGCTTATGCCTATAATCCCAATGCTTTGAGAGGCTGAGGTGGGAGAGTCATTTCATCCCAGGAGTTTGAGACCAGCCTAGGCAACATAATGAGTCCCTCTCCAATGAGAACAAAGATACAACATACCAGAATCTCTGG